CTCAGGAGATGAGTCTTTGAGTTTGTATAAACATCAACAAGCTGAAAAATAAAACCAAAGTTTTTTTTTTTGATGATGATGTAATCTTGTTAAAATTGATTTCATAAAACTGGTATCGAAAAAAGTATTGTTCAGGAACCGGTATCGAAGTCAAGGTATCAGTATCGGTATCGATATCGAAAATGTTTGAACAATACCCAGCCCTAGGTGCGTCCCTAGTATTGACAATCTAAGATCAAAACTAAACCCGCAAAATAACCCCGGACAAAAACATTTAAAGTGATCGGCGTCATATTTTTATAGCTTTTTATTATTATTATTATTATTATTATTATTATTATCATTATTATTACCTGTCCTGCCACCTCTTATTAGCTCTTTAGCCTGTCTGTCAAAGGAATGGGATCATAATATACTTCAGTGTTGGTGTCCATAAAATTATTTTTATTTTTTTTTGCTATCAGGAGACATATTTACAGTAGTGTCACATTTGCTTAAGCTCTTTAAAGCAGCTTATATCAGGCTCTTGAGAAACAGCTTAGCTGTATACCCACTATTTAGTTTGAGTGCTGATTATACAATTCATGCAGTTGTATTTCAGAGTGAAAAAAGGATGCTGGAACTGCAGAACTTCACTATGCACTAGAAATTTTGCTCACGGCACAGCGATGGTAAAGACCCCATGAAACAGCTTGATTCCTGTATTGACATATTAGCTATTGAAGCAGGAAGTGTACATCGATTGGCTCATTATTGTGCAGTATATTTGGCATATTTATGCCCTCAAACCGCAAAATTGCCATTTTGACTTCTCGGGGTCTTTAAAGCACTCCTGCACCTCACTGTCATTCTGTTCACATGCCGCCCCATGCCTGATTTACTCATGCCTGCTGCTGTGACTGTGCTGTGCACTTGTGTGTTTTTTGTTATTTGTGTTTATGTATGTTTGTGCATGTGTCTTGTGCTCACCGTTAGGATCAGTGGGTGTGCGGTTTGTTCCTGAGCCCAAACCTGCACCAATTACCTCCACTAAAGAGTCCCAGCTGCCCCCTAAACAGGCCATTCTCCCTCCCAAGTGGCTGATGGCTTCTTCCTCCTCCTCCACTGAGACTGCTCCAGTCCCATCCTCATCATCCTCCTCTTCATCATCATCGTCGTCTTCATCATCATCCTTCGCTCCCCCCATTGCTAAGCCTCCTCCTCGGACTGTGTCTTTAAACATAGACGACTCTTCCCGCAATAATCCCAGTCCTCCCGTAACAGCAGGAGACCGTGAAGTCCCTCCCACTATTCCCACCCACTTCACTCCTCACACTGTTCCCGCGCACTCCACTCCTCCCACTGTTCCCGCCCACTCCAACCCTCCGGCTCCTACTGCCCCTAAACAGCCGCCAGTGCCCCCTCCAAAACCCACCCATCACAACAACAACACTGCACTGCAAGGTGAGTCATTATTTGTCCTGTCAGCTTTCGCTCCAAAACTGCAACTGTAAAGTGTATGTGGCTTCATGTTGCTTTCTTAATAGACCTTAGCCAGAGTAGTGCAGAATGATAAAAGTATGACCTGTTTGAAGACCTGGATATACCAGGAGGGTTTAAAATGGTGATTTCAAGGTCTGGAAAAGAAGGAATTAATACAATCTATAGTCAATATGTCAGTTTCTATGTAACAGAGTAACGCATCGTGCGTGTGAGGGGAACAGGGTCACATCACAGGAGAGTGAACTGCCTGTCAGAAATCATAGCACGTCAGCTGTCTTAACCGCGGCTTGTGTGCTGCATCATCACTGTGTCTGTCACGCGACTCTGTTGCCCTTTCGGGCTTGGTTGGTAAGGTAAAACTAACGACATTATTAACTGTCTTGATATTTACTTTGAAAGCTGAAGCTCGCGATTATGGTAAGGGGCGTTACATTTCCGACGCGTGCTTGTGGTGTTCGGCCAATCACAATGCACTGGGTCAGCTGGCCAATCAGAGCAGACTGCGCTTGTCAAAGGAGGGGGCTTTGTTGAAAACGACGCGTTTGAGAGAGGTGGGGCATAGAGGACCTACAATAATGTACAGTATTTGAAAAATAATGTGTTTTTTGAATATTAAAGCATGTCAACATATTCTGTTACATCAAATACACAAAATAATGATCTTTAAAATAGCATCATATGACCCATTTAAGAACATCGCATTGTTTTGCGATTGTTTCTGAAGACTTGCTGATCAAGTCCATACACCTCAAAGGCCGTCTTTTGCGCTGCCTTCAGATTACTGCAATAATCATATTAAGCCTGCACACTATTTACGTTGTGTAATACAAATTTTTCTTAAATCCCAGAATATGCCAATGTCATCGGCGCAAACATATTTTATGTTACATGTATAATTTAGATTATGGAAACAGATTGGATATGCTTCTTATGTCTTCTGCATAATATTTTTTCAGTGGCTTTCAAAAAGTGGGTGTCTCGCCTGCAAATTATGTGTGAATGAGTGAATGCGTCATATGTTTGTGTGCGAGTGTGTGTGTGTATTACTAGAGTGAGCACGTCCTGTGCATGAGCACGCTTGTAATTATAAAATTAAAAACAAGGTCCCTATTTGAGTCATTTTTAGTAGAGTTGTCTCTACAGAAAAAGTCATCACGCATACTCATAATGACTCATGCGCATCTCTAAGAATAGTAATAGGTATTATATGGAGCTAGTGTTTACATTACATTTATATTTAATCATTTAGCAGACGCTTTTATCCAAAGCGACTTACAAATGAGTAGAACAATAGAAGCAATCAGACGAACGAGAGAGCAACAGTATATAACTGCTGTGACAAGTCTTAGTCTAGCACAGTACACATAGTTTTTTTTTTTT